CTAAGAATAGCTGTTTTCTGAGGATGTTTGTCTGTAATGGCCGGCTCCGCTCCAGCGTCGGGACCTCGCAGAACAATAAGAAAAACATGCTAGCGCGGTGTCTCTGCCTTGTGCCTGATCCGGTTTTCAGACGCGGAAATGACGGAGTGCACATAACACGCACATGCGCACGGCACAAGGCCTACTGTGCATGGTCAGCATCACTGTGAATATCGTAAAGGTGTGCTTTACATGAAGTGTTGAATTCAAATATTCAGCAGAGTTAACGCATGCAGAATTCATATAATGGTCAATCATTCATTGCAGAATCCGTAATATAGCCCGGGTGTGCAGTGTACTGGTAATGTGTCCCCAAGAGTGTCCACCGAGTGTCAATTGCCGGCGAGGTCTTGATGCAGTATCCCTTATGCCTTGGCAGTGTGAAAGGTAGGATACCCCACGCTTGCCTCTTGAGTGCAAAGGTGCGTCACCTCTAAAATTTATGTGCTGCGCATGGAACTAATGGGCGTTGTGCACAGGAAAATTTCGCCCCAAACCCTGAAAGCGCTCCTGAAGTTGAAATGCTTGATAACCTTTGGACACGTCCGGCCCCGTTGATGTCGAACCCAAAGCTGAACCCTGCTGGGTTCCAACCACATGTCCGTTTTTAAAACCTGGGCTCGCGGGATGCAATCCTTTATGGATGAAAGTGCATGAAAATGTATGAAAATGTCCTTTCTTGTCATTCTGGTCACTACCAAAAACGACGCATGCACAAACGTTATATTACTCCCTTTCCTGGGTAATTGTATTGTGAACCTGTGCTCATCGGATCGCCATAATTTCTGTATAGGTCAACCACCTGGCCTTTTTCAAATATTTGCTCGCATCGAATTACGCTACACGATAGAAGAATATTTGTCAATCTAGTGTTACTCTGGTAACTGCCAAAAACGACGGTATTCCTTACAACGGTAAGCATTCCTTATAACTATGCCTTCTTTGACAACCCCCAACACTCTTCACACTGAATCGATATCCTTTTTCGAGCTTCAGCACCACTCCTGTCATGCCTTGAGTTACTCAAATGGCGACACCCGTGGTGCAGCTGTATGATTCATCGGAAACAACAATAACTCCTGTAAACGCACGGCAGCGTGTACAATCCCGTGGCGAAAACCACATGAGCATGATCACCAAATTTCGCTGGAAGTCATCCCAAAACTGAGCCTTTAAACCGTCCTTACGCACGCCATACGCCTTAAATTTCGACATAGTGCATACGAAAAATGCTTAGGAAAACTGCAAAAATGTCCATAACCTGCTTCAAGCCGTTTCGGAAAAAAACAGCGGTAAACTCGAGGGGAGCAAAATCGCCCCCTCTTGAACTTTGCTTGCACATACAGCAATCTCAATATCCACGCTTAGACGACCTCGGCATATCTTAGCGTTTCAGAATATGGTTGCAATTTAATAGCAGGTTCCTGTGCTGGACCTCGTCCACTTAAATCGCTCCCCGTTGCAGCGCGTCCCAGGTCAAACACCGTCACCGCCGACTCCCCATGAATGCCGCGTCCCGTGTCATAACTCGCCGCAAGGCGCAGACGGGCGCGACACGCACGCATCGGCCGAACTGGGAAGCCCGCCATGTCTTCTAGTGCTTGAGCAAGTCAATGAGTCTTGTTGCACGCCGTCCCGAATAATTTGCATTCCGCAGATAGTGGGCCTCCCTCTCCGACAGCACCGGGCGACAAAGCTCCCGTGTCGGCGTTACAGGTGATGTCTTATTTGTTCTGCGGTCAGATATATCCCTCCGCTGCGCTCAACCGAGCCTCAGGTCCAGTGCGGTGGCCTGGTCCACGGGTGATGTCTTATTTGTTCTGCGGTCAGATGTATCCCTCCGCTGCGCTCAACCGAGCCTCAGGTCCAGTGCGATGGTCTGGTCCACGGGTGATGTCTTATTTGTTCTGCGGTCAGATGTATCCCTCCGCTGCGCTCAACCGAGTCTCAGGTCCAGTGCGGTGGTCTGGTCCACGGGTGATGTCTTATTTGTTCTGCGGTCAGATATATCCCTCCGCTGCGCTCAACCGAGCCTCAGGTCCAGTGCGGTGTCTGGTCCACGGGTGATGTCTTATTTGTTCTGCGGTCAGATATATCCCTCCGCTGCGCTCAGCCGGGCCTCAGGTCCAGCGCGGTGGTCTGGTCCACGGGTGATGTCTTATTTGTTTTGCGGTCAGATGTATCCCTCCGCTGTGCTCAACCGAGTCTCAGGTCCAGTGCGGTGGTCTGGTCCACGGGTGATGTCTTATTTGTTCTGCGGTCAGATATATCCCTCCGCTGCGCTCAACCGAGCCTCAGGTCCAGTGCGGTAGTCTGGTCCACGGGTGATGTCTTATTTGTTCTGCGGTCAGATATATCCCTCCGCTGCGCTCAGCCGGGCCTCAGGTCCAGCGCGGTGGTCTGGTCCACGGGTGATGTCTTATTTGTTTTGCGGTCAGATGTATCCCTCCGCTGTGCTCAACCGAGTCTCAGGTCAAGTGCGGTGGTCTGGTCCACGGGTGATGTCTTATTTGTTCTGCGGTCAGACATATCCCTCCGCTGCGCTCAACCGAGCCTCAGGTCCAGTGCGGTGGTCTGGTCCACGGGTGATGTCTTATTTGTTCTGCGGTCAGATATATCCCTCCGCTGCGCTCAACCGAGCCTCAGGTCCAGTGCGGTGGTCTGGTCCACGGGTGATGTCTTATTTGTTCTGCGGTCAGATGTATCCCTCCGCTGCGCTCAACCGAGCCTCAGGTCCAGTGCAGTGGTCTGGTCCACGGGTGATGTCTTATTTGTTCTGCGGTCAGATATATCCCTCCGCTGCGCTCAACCGAGTCTCAGGTCCAGTGCGGTGGTCTGATCCACGGGTGATGTCTTATATGTTCTGCGGTCAGATATATCCCTCCGCTGCGCTCAACCGAGCCTCAGGTCCAGTGCGGTGGCCTGGTCCACGGGTGATGTCTTATTTGTTCTGCGGTCAGATGCATCCCCCGCTGCGCTCAGTCCGACCTCAGGTCCAGTGCGGTGGTCTGGTCCACGGCAAAGCTAACAACTCGCTGAAAACTTGAGCTGGTGCCTTCGCAGCAATGCTAAACTCACGAGCAATTGTCTTCGGCGCGTGACGATAAACATCTGAATCTAGCAAGGTGACATGCGGTGCACTCGCAAAAAGAGCACGGAGCTCACGCGCGAGCTCACGAGCTCACGCGCGACGCTCGGGTGTTTCGAACAACGATTCCCTCCGTCAGCTGCAGGAGACTTCAAATCAAAGCGTGGAGTGACTTATTTGATTAAAAAGTTTATTGCTGCAGGGACATCCTCGGCTCTACGCAGCATAAGGTATATGAGATGCACAAGAAACCTAAAAGAGGCAGCTGCGAGAAACCTGCACTGCATTGTTGAGGTCGGGAATTACGTGTGACACAAATGAACAGGGTAGGTACATCTTATTGCAGGTGATGACAATATTCGCAGTGTAGTTCGTGTGTATGAGACCATCGCATTATATCTTTCGATAGCAAAAGAAGAAGAACATGCACCTATTTTCAGGTGTAGTAACTTGCGACCGGCCACTATTAACCAATTGTGATATTTTTGGCTCTAGATTAACAGCGATGCTGGTATTTTAGCTTCAGGTGCAATCAACGCTGTCATTATGTAACTGGATCCTTGATAATAGCATCCTGATTGGGTGAAAAGATCACGTCGGAGAAACCAATTTTTAACTGTGGGGTCCGTGCCGACTACAGATCGTCCACTCAATAAGACCGAACTTAATAGTAACAGAGCACATCCACAGGGCGTGGGGATGCAGGCACCCGGTGTGTCCGGTGTGTCCGATGACGCCTATGTCCAGTTACTCCTTGGCAGCCAGCTCCGGTCTTTGTCGCTCGCCGGGCGCGATGACGGGGCATGGTCTGCAAGTTTGCACGGTGAACAAAAACAACGCCGTGCCAGAGCGCTTTAACGGCATTGCGCCTCTAAACCATTAAGTGGCTATTGTGATAAATGTAATGGAGCCCGAAGAGAGATACGTGCTAAAGACCGGTAGATATGCTTTGGGATGAAGCTTTTCATAACCAGCCTTGAAAAACGATCCTTATGTCCCTTCCGTCAAGTTGCAGGATCACGTATCGTCAGTTGCAGGATCACGTATGCAATAGTCGAATGCTCTTCTGAACGGACGACCAGAACGGCCCCGAATCCTTGGCCGCGTTTTGTCTGCGGCGAACCAGCTCATGACGAGGGGCCGCGTTTAACATTTATGCCACCGGTGCATACACACAGCGGGCAACAGTGAAAGGCGCCAGCGCTTCGACGGGTATGCCACGGGCTGCCGCCGGCTGCGACTAAAACCCCGCGAACGTCTGCCAGGTGGATAATCCCGGTGTAATACATGCTTTGTGGGAGGAAGCCATCCATCGCTCGCCTACGGGACTGACACCGCTGCCTGACAGTGTTGAGCAACACAGAAGAACGGAAACAGCTGAAGGTATGGAAAAGGGACGACGCGATGATTGTGATAAAAGTTGCGTGATATCGCATTTGCAGCTTTGCATCACGCCGAACCCGTCATAAGTGACTGGCATGTAAAAGGAGATGATCATCAGAGCTACAAACGAACAAACCGAACTGTTAGCCGCCAACTGCAACGCCAACGGCCGCGCAGTTGGAGCAAACCGCGGCTGACCGCTGGCGCCGTCGGCCCCGCCGGTGGACACGTAATTGGAGCCAGATCCCGGTCACGGCGCGCTCACCTGTTGTGCCGGACCAACAGGCTGGTCAGCCGAGGTGACCGCCGAGGCGGCGCGCGGGGCGGCGCTGTCCACTGGTGGCCGGCTCCTCGGCGGGGGGCGGGGGACTTTCGACAGCCCAAGGCCGAGGCGGGACGGCAGATGAGCATAGGTCGCCCCGGGCCGAGGATGGGCTCGAGAGGCCGCTATAAAACGGCGCACCGCCTCCTCACTGGCATCACTCGCCCTGTACACCTCCCCCGCCTCCGTCCGACACCGTCCGCTTCCAGCATGAAGCTCGTGAGTATACGCTGCTGATGCGCGCTGGTGGTAGGCGACGTGCGACAATGGTCAGTTAGACCTGACGCTCGAGAGATGATGGGTTTTTAATGGGACTTTTTGGAATATAAACGTATAATAATGAAAGTGTTACCACACTTGCACCTTTCTGAATCATGGCGCCGTTAAGATGCAGCTTGAAATCCTGCCTTAATGCCGTTGCAGTGTTCTAAACCCCCGAAGTGCCCATGCAAGAATCCAAACTTTGCAGCAAAACTGTTGTTTAAAAGACGAGCGACTACCAGACACAAAGATATCATATGCGACAGGAGTAGATTCTGAAAGTCCCCCGCTGAGCTACGAAGCATCTGTTTCGTGGATTCATGCCAACTTTTATGGTTATTTTTTGGTAACCAGGCACAGATTGTCACATGATGCAGGTGTTGAAAACCGTTGCTGATTCCTCTGCAATAGCATAGCCAAGGAAAGTATTTTGGGGCCATGCCCACGTGCGCTGGAGGTGACAAGGGCCCTTCCCCTCTTCACCCTCCCCCTATCCCCCATCCCCTGAGACCAAAGGCAGTTCAGGACAGCCGTAAGGCCCCTAAATTTTCAAAGCTGGCCTACGAGCCCTCAAAATGGAATCCCGAGCCTGAAACGATCCCCGAATCTAAACTATGGCCCCTTTAATTACTATGCGAGACCTCTTGCCTGAAATAGCCCCTGTGCCCCGATCTGACCCCCTCTTGGACGAAATCCTCACAACGCTACTGGCACCTGGTAAACCCACCAACCACGGTTGCTGTTTCTGTATGAATGTTCTGCTACAGGTGATCGTTCTCTGCCTGGTGGCTCTGGCCTGCGCCGACCGGGACGCCAAGATCGTCAACCACCAGTTCGAGATCAACGAGGATGGCTCTTACGACGCCACGTAAGACAAAAGCCTGCTGGGTGCCTTGCGCTGGACACACGTCTTCTCGCGGGTGACATCTCGATGCTTCTGCGACTCTCGCAGCTGCTGCTCTGCTGAAACGTGCCCGGGCGTTTTGGTCGGACTCGCGCTCGGTCGCGCTTCATCAGAGTCGAGTAGCATTGTGACTCACGGCGGGCAAGATTCTATTTACGTGGCTCAGGACTAGGGGCATCTTTTCTTCAAATTTCACTTCTACTCTAAAATGGTTGACTAAAATTTAGAACGCCTCCATCTGCAGCCGATTGGTTTCTGGTTTGGTTTCACTCCAGGTGTTTCTTCTGAAAGCTGAGGGGTAGGGTGTCCCCATGTCCCCCAAAAGTCCAACTAGGAGTCAAACTCGGATTCATGGAGTCAGACTCACGCAAGCCAGCTGGGAACACTTCAGAACACAGCCTTATGCTTCCAAAGAAGGCATGGTTTTGCAAAGATACCAATGCAATACTCCATCTTTATAGTTTAAAACTTTAAGCCGTCATAAAACAGCTTGCTGTTCATGTTAACACGCGCATGCTATGTTTGACCAGAACTAACATTTTAGCGCAACTGGACGTTCATTGCAAGAATCACCACCGTTCAGTCCATGTAATCTCTATTTTTTTATATTCCGAATGGAGCCAATTTCAACGCCGTCTGTTCCTCCCTCGGGTAGCACAGCATGGAATTTCATCAGCCAGTGAGCTACATTGTCGCATGCATCAAAGGCTATCTCACATGCCAAGCAGAGCACCAACGTGTTGCCATACCAACACCTTTGCCCTCTGCAGGTACGAGACCTCCAACGGCATCCAGGCCCAGGAGAACGGCATCTCGTACCCGGGCAACGAGCCGGAGACGGGCAACTACGTGAGGACTGGCTCCTACAGCTACGACTGGGAGGGCGTCACCTACACCGTCACCTGGACGGCCGACGAGAACGGATACGTCGCCGAGGGCGACCACATCCCTAAGTAGACCCGTCCCCATCGGTGCCACCCTTCCGTCGGTACCTCCTCCCCCTGTTTGTTTGTGATCTTCTTCCGTTCTCCGTTCTCCTGCGGCACCGCAGGCTGTCCTCGCCAGCGTGCCGCCGTCCTGTCTCGCGTACCATGTGGATTGGATTGTGGATTGCAAAGGATTGTGATATGTGACATTGTCTCGCAGTTTCAAAGCCTGTCCGTCCACAATATATGTACAAAAGATACCGCTGACTGTCGGTGTCGAGGAGACGAAGATCACCCCTGGATATATGATCTCTCCATCTCCATATATATAAAAGATACTGCTGGCTGTCGGTGTCGAGGAGACGAAGGTCAACCCCGGATATAAGATCTTTTCATCTCCATATGTACAAAAGACACCGCTGGCTGTCGGTGTCGAGGAGACGAAGCTTACCCCCGGATATGAGATCTCTCTATTTCCATCTCTCGGCACATGCTTCGTTGTACTTGACATAAATTTCGCCAGTGAATCATATCGTAAATAGATTCTACACATATGTTTATCAAGCGCCGGGTAGGCATAAGCACTGGCACGTCTTACCTGCCTGCCGACTGGCATCGTCCAGTTTGCTGGTTTTACTTACCGTCGAAATGACGCACTTGAAGTTTCAACTAACGCACTACAGAACGTAGCTAGGTGCAATAGGCATTGGTGAGCCTTGAATGGAGCGTTTTCATCCCCAGTTGGATGCATCTTCCAGCTTATAATTCATACGTATGATAATGTGCGCTACCATGACGAAGAACAGCATGTTGACGCCGTGCATACCTTCAGCCAGTTCCTTCGTACGGGTCACACTTTTAAAAAATCATGAATCAAAATGATTTACCAATATGTGCTATGCTGCAAGCGCCATTGTAGCGTGCGCAGATGGAAGAGCCAGCCTTTTGCGGGTCTATCTGGAAAACGCTACACGTGTAGGCTGCGCCCCTTTTCTGCTGGTCAGCGTGGCTGAGACAAAATCATTAAGGAGGCATGTTGTGTGTCGTCCAGTCTTCACTTCACCTAATCCGTTGTTATTTCACCAATTTGATTTTACGCTGGCGGTTGTGTAGTCTAACCATGTCTTATCCTATTGGTAACAGCTGTCAAATAAATCGACAATATAATAAAATATGCCATAAAATGTGTTCATTTGGGATAGAATGATAATGGTCTTGGATGCAAGGCTGCTTTGAAATTTGTTAGGTAGCCTGGCAATGATTGTTCGCGCGCAGGTCGTCTCTTGTCAAAATATAAACGTAAATAACTGGATCACGGTGGCATGGGCGATGGCCAGCGGCGGGTCTCCACAAAGACAGGCATATTGCAGTTTGCAGCCATTTTGTGTTCCATTTGAAGCCATTTTGTGTTATATTTGCAACCATGTCGTGTTCCATTTGAAGCCATTTTGTGTTCCACTTGCATCTATTTTATGCTTTAGTGAGCGTGCTCTGGTGAAACACACGCGTAAAATTTGAAGGTGTTGCTAGATAATCATTTTACTTGAGACCTCTTCTGTGACTTAGGGAGCCGATGCTCTAGATCAGGAGACCCAATTATTTTATGTTATGGAGGCTATCATTATGAATCATGAGGCCTCCATTATAAACTTAGAGGTTCCAGTTATGGGCCGGGAGGCCTCATTATGGACTAGGAGGCCCCGTCACGGACAAGGAGGCCCCAACATGAACTAAGAGGCCCCATTATGAAAATAGGATGCCCGATGATGAACTAGGAACCCCGCTATGAATAAGTAGCTCCAGTTATGAACTAAGAGGCCCCGCTATGAAGAAGGAGCCATTTTAATTAAAAGGCACCCTTTTATATCAAGAGGCCCTTTTTTCGGAGCAGGACGCCCCTCCATGTGTTGTCAGGCCCATGGCCCGACCGATCTCCCGAAGGGGTGCACCACTGGCCCAATAAAAGGTGGACACGTTGTGTAAACACGGTTCTTTTTTCCTGCCTGCACACAACTTAATCAACACTGCTGTGAACGAATGTTTAGCACCCCAAGCAAGCTTGTTCATTTTTGGGGACAAGAAACGTCAAGTCAAGACAAAAATGTACAAGAGAATATCATACACACCTCGTCTTACGATTTGCTTGGTGTATGCTGGATGAGGATATAGCATGGAAACGAAAGGCCAGAACAAAAACAGGCCTAATGGAAACATATAATAAATTATAAGACAGTCGCTTTTGTAATAATTTTGTACGATAGCATTCTGTGTCGGAATGCATGTTGGGTGGTAGCTGATTTATGAACAGTAGATATACCTATACATATATAGTAGGATACACCTACTTTGCACAAAGTGGACAATTCGCTGGTGGGGGTGACTTTTTCCGTTACCTCATCCCAAATAACACATTTGACACCAAAATTGGGGAAATAAAAAAGTCTCTAGGGTTGCAAATTGCGCTCAGAATGCGCATTTAAAAAAATGTGGGTAGCTAACATCTATGCTTGACAAAGTCTAAATGCGTCAACACCTGCTGTATGAATGTGTGGGTGGCACCATCGTGTAGATGAGTTATGTAATATGCAGCTTTACTTTGGTATCAACTTCATTGATATGCTTTGGTCAATTAGCCTAGATCAGCCGAGGTGTCAAATTCAACATATTTTCTCAAATGACGCCCTCATGCGTGTGTGGACGGAAAACGATTATGCTGACGCGGTGTATACCCTACGTTCTTGCAGTCAGATTAGGTCAGTTCAGTTAAAGATGGGACTCGGAACATTCCCGCTAAGCATTCAATTTCGCATTCGCCAATGGTAAGCATTGGTCGCTGCGGGGTTTAATCGGCGCCGCAATTTTACGGTTTACTCATTGGGCTTCGTGTCACTCGCACGGTTATCTCAGAGACCTCTTAATTTAGCACCCAAAGACTACAATTTTTGTCGCTCTATGACGTACATTAGACAAGAAAATTGCATTGTACGCTTAAGCCCTACTCCGTTTGACACAGACGAAGGCCTTTGTTGATGCGCACACTGTGATTGGCGATATTTGGTATTCACGCTTGAAGTTGAAATTCCAAAAGCTGATAAATGGGTTTTGATAACCAATATGTTGAATAAGTGACCGTAATCCGTGGAAAACTTTGTGGAAAGGGAAGGCGGCACTACCAGGCATTTCCGCAGAGTAGAGGACTCATCGGCCAAGGTTCCTCTTCCAAATGCATCCGCTACCTGGATGCCAGCACTGGGGCTGTGCCGGCACTAGTTGTCTTCACAGGTAATATTTCTTACCAAATCTACTCGTCATGCATGGGGCTGTGCCCACACTCGGTCTCAAACCACCCCTGACCATTCTACCCACCCGTCATCCGCTCGTCTGCATTTTTCAGGCCTTTCATTGCACATTAAGGGTGACTTTGAAGAACGTTTACATCCACCCTTACTCTCTTTTGTTCGTGATTGCAAAGTGGTGAAAATGGAGCTGATGATACATAAATGGAACGCGAACAGAAATTTTAGGCGCTTTAATGAAGGACCACGGTGCGAAATGTTTTAAAACTTTGTAAGGCTTACAGCGTCTAGTTTCTAACGCTACAACCTTAATCTTCTACTTTGTTACAAATGTTTTGCAAACATTCAAAACATCTTAGTGAATATGCATATTTTGATAAAATTGTGGCTGGCTAGCCATAGGTCAGACCATGTCTTTAAGACCAGGTATAATACCAAATCTTTTCATATCGTGTTTTTTTTGGAAGCATGTTAAAAAACATCGGATGTGAAGTCCTTTCAACGCCTTTAAGCGGACTATCTAAAGGGAGTGTTCCACGTTTGTATGGGCTTTTTAACTCTAATAGCCATCTTGGAGATCATTCGGTGTAGTTCACAGCCTTTCCCTTCTTAAGACCTAAACCTTTCTCATTTCTGAGCTACGCGCCCGTGAAGATGTGCAGATTTCCTCGGGCGAGACTATTTCAGGGTCACCCAAGCGACTAAGACATCATAAGTACGTGATTCAAATCCTGGCATTCCGTTGGCCAGGCGACGATCAAAGCCAGTAAAAATATGGTTGTCGGGTCGCTTATAACCGTCGTTCATGAGTGCGATTTTCAAACACAACGGTCGTCAATTGGTTCTCAGTCGATGTTGTGCAAGGTGCGATGACGTAATCAAGCAATGACGTATTGAGGAGCATGTTTACTAATCAGAGAAATTATGTCGTCTAGAGCAGCCTTTTCAACTTAAACGTGTGCCAATGGCTGTGAAATGAATGAGTATGCATAAATAACTATTGTCTGGATTGAAAATGTGCTATTGGAGATGGTCGGTTGTTCGATCTGCCATGAAATCAGAAAAAAATGGCACGGAGGAAGGTTGAGAACCAGAAAACTCTGCGCATGGCCGAGGAATGGTTCGTTGAACATGACGGTTTTGAAATATATTGACTTCGCATACCGAGTTCACTTCATTTTTGCCGTTGTGTCGCCCGTTGCGGTATACTCCATAAAAAAGCGGCTGATTTATCATAGAATCCCGGCTAATTCATCTTAAATGCAACCTTATGATCACTCATGCTGCTTTTATCTTTGTGGATACTGCCAAACTCGAGATGAACGCCCATGCCTTTCAAGGCGTGCCACCGATAACCACTAAAACTGGCCTTAATCTCATCATGGTGCACAGCTAGTTACACAGGTGGTCAGACAGCCCATGCACGCATAGGTCAGGAAGCTGTCTGGTGTTCTACCTTCCACGATCCACGAACAATTTATTGCTACCTGGCACCAAGCATCTTCCTCTTCCGACAGACACACTCCGTGGTGTTTCGCACCGCGCGCCACGTGACTCTGTTATGCAGGCATTTCAGCGTTTAGCTGAATGGCTTAGTCCGCAGCCAGGTCATTCACTACTATAAGCTCCATGCTACTTTAAGGCTTCCGTTACACGCTTGCTGTCAGCTGCGCGGAATCTGCAAAAGCCGAGACGATTTCAGGTATCCATGCGGTTTTTCCGCGTCATGGCCACGCGATACAGCTACAGTAATACATTTACATTGGACTTAAGGATCTATGTTAGTCTATGTGGACATATGTGTACATGCCGGACATTTATGAGAAACTGGGCCGTTTCGTAAACAAAAGGGCCTGTTGGTGCGCTCTTTCTCCGACAGCTCGGGCGTTACCAGTTTTGTGTGTTCCTTTCCTCGGATTCTGTTATCTGTGGTTATGCCCTGCTCTAGGACCCTCTCGTCGGATTCACAGTTTCTCATTCACCTTGGTAGCAGGAAACTAGTTTTAAAAAACTGTCAGTATGGCGTGGATCACTGAGCATGGGGGGAAGTAGGGTGGGAGTGGGGGGGGGGGGGATAGAATGCTGGTACCCCAACCGTGTGTGAGTGGTCTCTTTCTGCGCCATGTGAAGGACGATTGAAACCATATGCTGAAGACGGAAAGGGTGTGTTCAAGCGCGAACCGATTATTATCCTACGAGGGGCGCCCCGAATATTCGAAGGCGCCAAGGCGCCGGATTCTCGCTGACGCCACGTTAAGTTTGACCTGCAGCTTTTTTCTAGCCGAAGGGCGAGACGGCGACAAGAGTCTCAGACAACGATTTATCAAGGTAAAGTCACCACGGAAAACTGGCCCACTGTGCTGGCGAGGTGACTGGTCGAACGGAGCACCGCTTGAGAGCCACCCATACTACCCCTGCCATCTGTTGCCCGCGATTTGACTAGAAGTTCGCGGTCACCCACTTGGCGTCAGGTTAAGCGCGAACGACACGAGGTCCATTACGACTGAGCCGATGTGGCTACAATTTCACCGGCAGCTTTCAGTTTGTGCAGTGTGCTTATCTCATACCCTGTTAATATATCTAATTCCACCTCGCGCCTTGATGTACCATGCGTGAAGCATCCTCCACCACACGTTCAACTAGGAGTGGTCGACACCGTAACAATGCACGTCAACGAGGCGAGAGATGGCGCAGTATGCATTCATGGGTAGAACATTGCAGATATCGGGGGGTTTGGGGTCCTCATATGCTTATTATTTTTTAACTGAACTTACGGGACGTCCACAAATTAGGGGAGCGAGGGATTGATGGATGCACCGGCAGCGCTACACTTGAGGGAAGGTGGTTTTCGCGAGGCTCCAAATCATACTAAAATATCTTGAGACAAATAAAAACCAAAAAGCCAGACATCAACGGCTTCTTTCGTGGCAAGAAATGCGCCAACTATTTGTTTCGCACCTCCAGTTCAATAAGAGGGCCCAAATGGTCTTACCTTTTTTTAGGAATTTGCGCTTAACACCGCGGAACCAGAGGGGCGGGTTTTGCCCAGCGTGACAAGCGTTTAACCAGAGCAACGATTGAAAATGGCCGAACATGCGTAACGTAATAGATGGGCGTCTCCAGAGGAAGTTGTGGAGTAGAGAGCGACGCATGAGGACACGGAGGGCAGCAAGTGGGCAAGCCGAACTTGCAACCTCATCCAAATACGACACAACTATCCTACGTTGTTTAGACACCGATTTTGGTGCTGAGGCGAAACCAACTGCTTACATGCACGCTATTGCGGAGTCGGTGGATGCAAAATGGCGAATCGACGGACGCAAAACCTCGAAATCGGGGCACATAGCACGTCCTATCGTGAAGAAAGCGTCATAGCACAACCAGTAGCCTTGGTCCCACATCACTGATTGTGTGTCCCTGACAGCACTGCAGATTAGCCGCGCTGATGTAACGCACAGATGCAGACGGCAGCGTCGGTATGGAAAACGCCTGCCTTGCACATCATGTAGGTGGGTGCTCATAACATCGACTGACATCCTACCCCTGTTACGTGCCTGGCGTCGCCCCTCATATCCACCACACCAGCATTCAAACTCCAATGAGATGTGATGATAACTTATTCAGCCAACAAGCTGTTCCAAACTACTCTTAATAGAACGCGAGCGATGACTGCTTGTCACCTCTCCTTGAAGCTGCCCAAGTCAAAGAGTACGTCCGCCAACCGCGAGGTCACCCACATGGTATCGCGACGTACCTTTCGCGCGTGACGCATATCAGCAGCCATAGGCGTGGGAACATAGGAACCTGTGTCATGACATCCATTTTCCGAGAACGCTGAGCATTAAACTAACCATGACGACGGATGGAGAGAATCGTCTTCAGACTTGGCTTTTAGCACCCTCCCTTTCTGGAACATGAATGGGCCCAATGCAAGTGAAGCACCTCAATAGGCCGTGAAGAGAAGTTGTGGACGGCGCGCCCAAGCGGCCGGCCAGTAGCGACATGATTCATTCTCTCCGCAGTCGCTTGAGAGGCGCGGAACCGTCCGCAGCGTGCGCTCCACCCCAGCTCAGCCCCTAGCCCCGGTGCGTACACCGAGCAGCACGAGCGTGAGCGAGCCGGCCTAGCGCAGACACCCGCGGTTCGCAGGGCGACCATGAGTTGGTGGTGTACGGCTCCGCTGGGCCGCTGGCCTCCGGCCGGCAGCTGGTCCTCCGTTGGCGACGGCGGCCCAGGAGGACCGGCCGCACCCCAGGAGATAGCGGCACCCGGCCGACGGCGGCCCAGGAGGACCGGCTGCACCCCAGGAGATAACGGCACCCGGCCGACGGCGGCCCAGGAGGACCGGCTGCACCCCAGGATATAACGGCACCCGGCCGACGGCGGCAGGGGAGGACCAGCACGACCAGCGAGGTCGATGTGAACGGTGTCAAATCGGCGGCCCAGACGCGGAAACGCACTGACGAAGGCTGTGGTGTGGCGGTGCATCCTGGCCCGCCGAGAGCTTCGCCAGTTCGCTGACTACTTGCAGGAGTACGGAGTTAACTGACAATGCCGTGGAAATTCCGCCCGAAAAGACCGCCACCTGCCCTATCGCGCTTCCCACGATGCAAGCCGTCCAAATGCTCGATAACAAAACTAAAAAATCCATTGCAACACCGCAGTTAAATTCACATTGCACCAGTATATTTCATGAGTGTACGGACATATACACTCATCTCGATAAAAACGCAAGGAACAGTTGCACTGCAAACTTACAGCCTGCAGTTACTTCGCTGTACAATTGCGTGTTTGCCGTCACAGTTAGACATCCTCTCCATCGAACACTGATCACCAATGGCCGAACATCGACCGTACGCATCGCTCGACGTAAAACACAATACTCATCACCGCCAGCCCACATCAATGTCTCGGCTGTCGGGTGTCGTCCGCAGACAAGCTCTCTGTCTAGCGTCAGCAAGCTCTAGTGCAAGTATCACCGGCGGCGCACCCCACTCTTGCCCATGGCACTGGCACTGGCACTGGCACAGGCAGTACCGCCCGGCGCGCCGGCCCCTACCTTCCACCAGCACATTGGTCACCTACTAAAGTCTATCAACACGCGAGTATATAGCTTTTCCAACGAAACGTCCTTGACTTGGTACTCCAGCGACGACAATCCGTCCGTCGTGAAGCGCTTCTTGCCCTTCCGCAATAGGTCAAACCTGGAAAGGCACGGGGCGTCAGCGGGGTCACCTGCCGGCCGGCCGCCGCCGGTCACCCCCTCCGGGGCGGCGCTGATCCACCGCCTGGACGCGCGGCGAAGCTCGCAACTCTCGCCAGGGGCGTCTGAACAGGACCGCGTCAGACATGCAGTGCTACAACTCGTTCGCTGCGATGTTCGCCTCCACACCGCGAGTGCGGGGTCACATGAGAGGTGCACCAAGAGCTCCCCTGAGCCCGTGAGGCGCACCCGGAGTCGCACAAGGCGGCAGAGCGTCTCACCTGCGGTCCCGGCCTGGGATACAGGCGCGGAGAGGTGCGGACTTGGACGGGGCGGGGTCGCCTTACATATGGCAGGGCGGTATGGTAGTAAGCGGGGCTTCCATAGACTCCTGTCGCTCGATGGTGGAGAGGAAAAGGATTCCTGGACGCACAGGTCCACATCAGACATGTCAGTTCATTCCGTCAATCACCAATTACATGAGTAATCCCCCAAAAATGGCTAGTTTCTCAAATCGCATCTGGAGACTTCAACGTTCGTACAGTTGCTTGGTATGGGTAAACAAAACATAGCAAGTATTCACCCGGCTGTAAAATAGGCGTACCGTCAAAATGGAGCAAAATAAAAACAACAATCAGCATCACTAGCCTTCTGCTCACACTCGCATGGAGCGATTCAAAAAGGGCTTAAGCGGCTTCGCCTTCCCCGAGGTTGAGTACCCTGAAGCGGTCCATCAAACACGACGAAGAACGACCCAGCAGGTGGGGCGCTGTGACAGCCGGTCAGCCGGACGTCCGCACCTCGTCACGCCATTGCGTCGGCGAGCACGCCCCACCCACCGTTTAGGGTTGACCTTGGCGTGCTTGTGCTTGACCATCTTGTAGCGGGCGATGTTGGCCGGGTAGCGGGCGATATACAGGTGGTGGAAGGTGAGCCGGTTGTACATATCGTCGTCCTCTCCACCCCAGCCCCAGTACTGGTTGCTGAAGCCGTTCACCAGCTCGAACTGCTCCCGGTTGACGGCCGAAACACCGCCGAAGAGCTGCGGGTACGCTAGCCTGCCGACGGTCAGCGTGGAGGCGGTCAGCGGGGCGGCGGTCAGCGTGGAGGCGGTCAGCGGGGGGGGGGGGAGCGGTCAGCGCGTGGAGGGGGGGTGAGCGGTCAGCGTGGAGGCGGTCAGCGGGGGGGAGCGGTCAGCGTTGAGGCGGTCAGCGGGGGGGGTGGGAGCGGTCAGCGTGGAGGCGGTCAGCGGGGGGGGAGGGGTCAGCGTGTGAGGCGGTCAGCGGGGGGGGGGAGCGGTCAGCGTGGAGGCGGTCAGCGGGGGGGGAGGTCAGCGTCAGGCGGTCACGGGGGGGGGGGACGGTCAGCGTGGAGGCGGTCAGCGGGGCGGCGGTCAGCGTGGGCGGTCAGCGGGGGGGGGGGGGGGAGCGGTCAGCGTGGAGGCGGTCAGCGGGGGGGGAGCGTCAGCTGGAGGCGGTCATCGGGGGGAGCGGTCAGGTGCGGTCAGCGGGGGGGGGGGCGGTCAGCGTGGAGGCGGTCAGCGGGGGGGGGCGTCAGCGTGGAGCGGTCAGCGGGGGGGTGGGGGGAGCGGTCAGCGTGGAGGCGGTCAGCGGGGCGGCGGTCAGCGTGGAGGCGGTCAGCCGGGGGGGGGAGCGGTCAGCGTGGAGGCGGTCAGCGGGGGGGGGGGGGAGCGGTCAGCGTGGAGGCGGTCAGCGGGGGGGAGCGGTCAGCGTGGAGGCGGTCAGCGGGGGGGGGGGGGAGCGGTCAGCGTGGAGGCGGTCGGCGGGGGGGGAGCGGTCAGCGTGGAGGCGGTCAGCGGGGGGGGGGGGGGAGCGGTCAGCGTGGAGGCGGTCAGCGGGGGGGAGCGTTCAGCGTGGAGGCGGTCAGCGGGGGGGGGGGAGCGGTCAGCGTGGAGGCGGTCAGCGGGGGGGGGGGGGGGGGGGTGGGGGAGGGGGGAGGCGGTCAGCGGGCGGGGGGGAGCGGTCAGCGTGGAGGCGGTCAGCGGGGGGGGAGCGGTCAGCGTGGAGGCGGTCAGGGGGGGGGGGGGGGGGGGGGGAGCGGTCAGCGTGGAGGCGGTCAGCGGGGCGGCGGTCAGCGGGACCGCGGGCAGAGGTGACCAGCGGTGCCGCGTCAGACAAGATGGCGCGAGAGCCGTCCAGCGCGGGACCGGTGACGTGGGAGAGGCGGGGTGGATGACGTGGGAGAGGTGGATGACGCGAACAGCACGGACCTCTGTACGACACAGTAACAGAGCCGTGTCTGACTCGGCGATGAAATATCGAACCGATAAGCGTCACCTAAATACACAGAAGTCACTAGTGACATTCAAGCCAACGGTTTGAAGCAACGGCTCGAGGAGCACAGTGCTTTCCAAACATAGCTTGCTTAACAGAGGCAGTGCGCACCATTCCAGCAGCAGAGAAATTTCAGTTCAACGTAAGGTTTCTGCCGGAACATTTCGGTGTCCCCAGTACTGCCGTGGGACGGTCATTCATATTCCAACCTCCGTCGCTTGGCCAGCTGCCAACTGTTCGTCACTATCAGGCCACATAAGCACGGCTTCCGGACCCTTTCCAACATGTCTGCCGGTGGTCGGCCACATTATCCCAGGCTCAGCCGCCTGCGCCACACATATGGCAAATGCTCAACTCCCAAATAAATGGGATTTTTCAATCGTAGTTAAAATAATGGCCTTGTGGCACGCCTAATCATTGTGATCATAGCTCGCCCAGCGATGTGCTATATTCGAAGATCGACTGACATTGAGGAAAAGCAGAGATCAAAAATGGCATCCAAGCCGTGGAATATCCAGGACTGGTTCAAAAATTATCTGCTGCTAGATCAACGTTGCCCGTAAATTACGTGAACATATGTGGGCATGGCTCTTGCCTGGCCCAGTGGGCAGAAATGGTCACTGATGGCGCACGCATTCATCAAGCAGACAGCGACGGTTAGGCCAAAACGATTCTAAACCTTGAATGCCAGCTTAGAATGCTGACAGCAGCGGCTAGCGGACCGGACGCATGGTGGCGCCGCCTGGACACGGTCGCATTAACTATCGAGTGGCGGATGTCGAGCGACTCATGCAGCGGTCAGACGATCCGATAATGTGTTTAATTTTGTGTTTTGTGCCGTATGTCCCGAGCTCGCGACCATAATCATTCAATTCGAGAGAAGTGCCTACATTTTCTTCACTTTGCATCGATCTAACCAAGATAACACGCCGCGTTATGTTCGACGATTTCAGACAGCACACGTATTGGTGTTGACGTCAGCCCTGGCGGCGTGTGCCACGCAGTCGCACGCGCAGAAAGAGCCGCTCGAGTCCAGCGTTGGGCACGCACGCCACCTCTGCCTTCCACTCACACTGGCTCGGACGTCCCCGTTCTGGCTAGCAGTGTATCTTACGGCAAACCTGATGCAAGCATCCCAGTCCGGGCCGTGTGATTCTAGGTGATCCAATAACCCCGAGGCGAAACGTCCGAACTAACTTCATTTTGCCTATTACAACGACAGGTTGAGGAAACATGTGTGGGTTTCAGGCACCATTTAAGGGGGAAGGGGAGAGGGTTCAGTGCGAATGGTTGTAATTAACTGGCTGCACTGTCATCAAACTTCTCAAAGATCGTACTAAAATTGCAACACATCACAAAATGGCGTCGGCACATCTCGGATGGGAGCGCCTTCCCCTCCGCCCCCTCCCGACCCTGTGCCGGACGTGGCGGGTAGCGAGCCTGTCGCCTGCGCAAGAATTTTGTCGTGCCCCCTGGCGACTGGCGTGAGGCATGCTGACATTAACTCACACGAGACGTGAAATGGGTCCTCACCTATACCAACTATTAATCATTGCAAAACGTGCAACGAGCATTCAAAAATTACCTGCACCATACATCGCCATTAGCCACATAGCCATAATCAACACCTGCGTGTTGATCAACTGACAACTATGAAGGTGACTGAAACAACAGCCAGCCAAAATCAGTTGGATTCACCCCGACCCCGACAAAGTCCTGACCCCAGTTTGACTCGGTCTCCAGTCAGGCGCACATCGGGTATGCGAGCCATTAGCCCAGCGTCCGCGTCCGGCCGCGGTCCGGCTGGGCCCGCTGGCGCCCCAGCCTTCGGAGCGCGTGGTGACGTCAGAGCGTTTGGAGCGTTTGGCGGCCGCCGTTTGGCGGGCCGCCAAACGGCGGCCCGCCTGCTCTCCTCGGGGCAAAATGCCCGGGGCGAGGTGGGGAGCACCCCACTCGGCGGTGGGGGGACGCTCTGGCGCGAGGCGACGGTGCGGGGCGGCCCTGCGACGCAGCTTCGGCCAGTGGCTGCAGCTGCCACCGGTGGAGGGACGCTCTGGCGTGAGGCGACGGTGCGGGGCGGCCCCGCGACGCAGCTTCGGCCAGTGGCTGCAGCTGCCACATGTACGCCCCGTAACGCTTATCCGACTTTGTCGACAGTTGTTTACAGAGTTGAGTTTGTGGAACATTGCTCAGCATCATGTTCCGTTGACGTGAAGATTGATGCCGATACCATATCGACAAAACAGACAGATTTATCACAGGCTTCGCCAGGGCTTTGTGTACACATGATTCCCAAGCGCACGTGGTTTCCCCGTAATAATCCAAGGCACACCATTACACCGCCGTCCTCAGCACCACATCTTGACTTCAATCCACGGCGTGACACCATTACGTAAGCATTAAGAAATCCAGAATAAAGGCAAATAAGGACGGACGGCGTTGGCTTGGCCCGAGCTGAACAAGTGTAAAATGGCGCACGCGCCCGCCCGGGCAGAAGAGCCGAGCCGCTGCGACAACCCTTCACCGATCCTCTAATGCCGTTTGAATAATACCCCCTTCGCTGACGGATCCTCTCGTTTAGCAGGAAAGCTGCGTCTCAAACAATCTCGTTTCATTAATGTGTCGGTCATTGCCGTGAATGCAAGGATCATCAGCACGTAAGCAGCGAAATTCGCATAAAATACCCGATGGTTCAAATCGTAAGGAAACCAACCAACGTCGACGCAATGGCAAATAAAAAAGACCATCCCGCCTCACGTAACACCACATCCCACTTCAAATGAGCTCATCCCACCGACCAGAAACTAGCATGCAATGAGTTGCACTCACTTCAGAACACCTGATGCCCCCTCAAGCACCGGCAATGCCCGTCGCCTGTGCGTACTCCAGAACGGCTTGGTGCCGGAATACGGGACTTTCCGATCGAAAAGGCGTGAATATATATCTTTTTCAATCCTAAGCAGAGAAACCGGTCTAAAGCACGTCTTTCCCCACCATCTCGTGGGAATTGAACGTACTTGTAGTGCATCGAGTCGACGGCGACAGACATGTGTCGCGGCTGTTGCGGGCAGGTGTAGAGGTTGCGGTCGTCCTCCATGAGCAGGTCCACGTCATGGAAGACGAAGCACTGGAAGTCGTGCTGCTTCAGCGACTCCATCGCGCCAGCGTTCAGCAGCGACGCCCGGTTGAAGGCGTCCGAGCCTGCGCCACAGGGGGCTGGTGAACTCGGGCCGCTAGGTAGCACACAGCCCTGGGGCGCGGGCCGACCCCCTGGCTCAGACCCTATTGTCACCCGAACAATATGCCTCACTCAACTCATGCATCTAATACAATCGCATCAAATGTATTATATATATATATATATATATATATATATATATATATATATATATATATGTACAGCGTTAACCAAGCAACGAGAGGGGGCCGTACATCGCCAGCGCTTTGTTCGGTGGCTTAGCCGACGTCGGCCCCCGAAACACGTACACACACGGGGAGGAATCGTTAGTGGGCCGCGGTCACACCGAGCGTCCACAGCGGGGCTCATGGCCGGCGGCTGACCCGTCGCCAGACCTCTCGCGCGCGCACAGGTGTGCCGGTCAGCTGGAGGGCGATCATAATAGCCCTACACCGGAGCAAACACTTGACAACAGCACATGTGGGAGGTGGGGTGGTGGTAACGTGGTATGCACAGCTTGTACATGCGCCACACAGAAGCCGGCAAGCCCTCGTATGAGCACAAAACGGTGGCGCAAACCGAAGCACGCCAGTTAGAAAAAGTGCGCGATTCGTCAAAAAAGAAAATGGCACGAGGGGGCTTCTTTGCGGCCAGACACACATGCTGGGTCTGTACACGACCCGCCACCTTCACTCGCTGATGCCCTCTCTCAAAAAGTACATACATTTATATGAAAACACCACGGGCTAATCCTGACCGAAATTTTGTATCGCTGCAGGACTTTTCAACGGAGAACGCCAGCTTAATTAAAGCACCATGTAGTATCACCAATGTGTCTGTACCATGTTCTAGAGCACCTGTTTCCAGAGCAGGAATATCATGGGCACCACCGATTTAGTGCAATTCGTGTTGGGCTCACATGGAGCTTCGTAGCAATGGTGACCGAAAACGATGAAGGACGACTTTACGCCATTCCGAGTAAGAGCACGGAAGCGATTTTGAAGAACAAAAAAAGAGCTAACAATGCGCAAACTCTGTTTTGTTTGCACCTATTTATCACTGTGATAATCGCGTACAGGTTGCATATAAGGGAGAGAGTCAGTTAGAGTGTAACCAACTAATTCAAAAAATGGCACCAGTATAAAACGAGGTAATAGACTCGGACTCTGTTGTCGTTATCAAATATTGATGCTTCCGCCAACTGACAGCACATTGCGGATCCAATACCGGCTCCCTCTGCTTATGCAGACATTGCGTCCATTGCCCAATGCCACCTGAGGTCGACCACTCACTTCGCACGCCTACCACTCCAGCTCCCGTGGCGCCGGGCACCCCGGGACGAGCAGAGGGTTACGTCAGAGCCGGCGCCTCCGCTGCATCCCGATCAGCGGCACTTGCCGTGCAGGACTGGGTTATAGCGCGCTCGTCAGCTTCCGGCGGGCGGCCCCGCGGCTCGTGCAGCGCGAGCTGCGCCGCCCGCTGCCAGCTGGTGTCCGACTGGGCGGACAGTGCGCTTGCCTCCTGGCCGTTTCAGGCCCGGGTCAGAACCCAGCGACCATACGGCGCCGAGCGACGTAGGCTGACCCTCGGTGCCGTTGACTTTGGGCACATGTGTCGGAAAAACGGCTGATACGCAACTCCGGCGCAGACGATTTCGGCTCGTCGGTGGACCCCGACCACTGACCCGTGCCGAGGCGTTTCCACTTTGTACCGGCCCCGGTTGGCGGCTGCTCCGCTAACTGGGTCTGTCAGGTCACCAGCCCAACCGCCGGGAGCCCGGCATCGGCTCTGAACGGAGCGTCGCCCGGCGCGACGGGCCCAGTCGGGGCCGGGTCTCTGCGCGCTGGCGGGACTCGGCGCCACTCAGCCGCCACTCACCCGCCTGCTCCACCACGAAGATGCCGTAGTCCAGCTGCTGGCGCTGCAGCACCGGGTGCATGTGGTACAGGAACATTCGCAGATGCTCCTCCCTATCTCTGCAAGCACGCAGGACGGTTGGTCACGGTTGGGTACACGGACGCCGACGAGGCCAGCCACATATCAGACCAGTATCAGTGCAATCGGCGCACTATCAGCGGGCAGTGCGCATGTGTACACCGGACACCAACGGGACGCTGTCAGCCGCGGCTCATATCGCTGCACCCGCGTCCAATATCAAACGGAATGGCGTCCTCAGCCTGCACAACGAGCACGGCTGACAGGTAGGGAGCCCACGTGATTGAGTCACCATCCAGCGTTGGCCGTTAAAGCCCGGCCGTCGTTGGTCACGCAGTGCTCATATTCTCCTCAAGCGCAAAGGCGCGACGTGTCTAGAGGATACATGAACAACTGCAGATGCGAGCTGTACACAATCAACTTATGGATTTCGGGGCCTGTCATAACATGGCCAGACAGTGTCATGTGCACGCTACATGCACTGCACAATCAACCATAGAAACACAAAGACGTGTGCAATATTTCGGCGGACCTGACGTTTTCGTGGTTTCGGACAACTGGCGATTTAGTGCTCTCCGACAATTGAAGGCTGGAGGTCGCCTAGGCACTGCTGGTTCCGTGGTGTACTCAACAACCACCCGGCAGAACGAATGGCCCTCGGTCTCGCCCACTTCCGCTCCAGAAGCGAGGCTCACAAAGCCGCTGTTTAGCCGCAAACCACTAACCTCGCCGACCAATGCTTGCCTAGCACGGGCCTCCATCCCAGCGTTTCCCTTGCGTCCTAAACCATATCCTTTCCTCGGCGCATGGTGCACATTTCCTACAGTGAAGGAGTCATCGAGTAACATGGCGGTGCAGTCATAACGAACAGAACGTGTTGGTCGCATCAGCTATGAAAAAAAAATGATGGCCGCCCCACACAAATTCCTTCTTAATACCGTGGCGTAACTGTATGATACCATGATGACCAGCCGGTGCCGCGTGCGGTAGCGTACCTGTGCTGTACAATGATGGCACCCGTTGCAGTGTGCGGTTGCGTACCTGTACGGTGTTATGACTGCCGGTACCGTATAAGGTAGCATACCTGTACTGCACTATGATGGCCCCCGGCACAGTGTGGGGTAGCGCACATGTACGGCACTATGATAGCCCCGATACCATACACTGCAGCATGTCTGATAAGGTAGCGTACCTGTACAGCACTATGATGGCCCCCGTACAGTGTAGGGTAGCGCACATGTACGGCACTATGATAGCCCCGATACCATACACGGCAGCAAGTCTGCACGGTGTCATGACGGTCAACCGGTACAACTTACATTATGGTACCGTAGCGTACCGTATATGGTACAATGACGGGGTCCGATGCAGTGTACAGTGATACCTGTGCGACACTATGATAGCCGCCCGGTATAGTGTACGGTAGCGTATCTGTATGCTACTGCAATGACCCCGGTACAGTGTACGGTAGCGTACCTGTACGGTACTATGATGGCCACCCGGTGCCGGGCGACGCAGTTGGCTGGCTGGTACCGGCCGCCGGGCTGCAGCCGCTTGAAGTCGGCGATCGCCTCCATCTCCTCCCAGGAGGGCGCCGCCGTGGGCACCGCGAGCGGGCCGACTGCCGAGACACGGCCCGTGTCAGGTCAGGTCAGATCAGAACAGAACAGGTGTATAAATAAACACAACGCGGGTCATGTCAGCCTGTTTTATAAAGGCCATCGGCGGCGGATGGCACGCGCGCAGGGCGTGTCACACAGCCTGATGGCGTGCACGCGCGGTATGTTCAATGGGTCAATGTCCGGCTGGCTGGCGGGGACAGCCGTCTGTCGGACAACGGCTGCAGATCACGCTAGAGGTCAGCAAGCGATGAACCAAATTCGGGAACGGAGTCCACGGCACGTGACTATAAACGCCCATCCCACAGCCACATGGGGGAATAGACGTACTGTCATGAAAAAATGCGTCAGACCACACATACCACAGCTGAACCCACGTCAAATCCATTTCCCACCTGGGCATGCTGCCATGTAACGTAAAAACATGAAGACTCTGTATGCCTCTTGCAATAGCATAACAGCCGAGGTTCAAACATCGCATGCAAAAGCGTTGCCTTAGAACTGGGCGGAAAAAACGACAAGATGTAACGGAGTAACGGAGTCCTGTGCGTGACGTCACGACGCGAACATCCGTGACAGCTGAGCCGTGCAAATTAAAAACATAATGGGACGAGCGCTCGATCGATGCGCCTATGCGAGCCTTCCACGCAGCGGTCCACATACGCGATTTGCTTTAGTGTTCGGACTCAAGTGGACCAGTTCCCGAATTATGAGGCATGACGAGAACTTCGCTGCATCTTTTCATCTCATGCGAAGAAAATCATGATGTACACTCCGTTAGAACGTGGCATGGCGGATATGCACTCGCAACGCACGCATTGCCTCCATGCCAAACACCCCGACTGCGGCTCGTTAGTTAACTAGAAGAATTTTGCATCGCTCAAAAACTGGCGATTTACCACGGCGATTCCATCTGTTCCTGTATGAATCCTGCTGTGTGAATGTGAATTCATCTGTGAATCCAGTTCCGTCTGTTCAACCGCGCCACGCCAGCTAGCATCAAATGACCAAAAGTGTCCTTTGCCACCGTGACGTTAAAACCCCTTTGAAAAGACGAGCGAAGGCTCCACTTCTACAGCCATTATTTCTTAATTTGCATGATGCGCATAGGTGCGCAACACGCCTCGAATTATCAGCTTTGACGCCGCTTGAACGGAGACGCCAGCTACCAAATACAAAATATAGCATCAGAAGTCAAAAACAAAAACCGGCATCCTGCTCTGCAGCACTCTAGTCTGAACCACAGCAGCACTGATGTGCGAGCGTGTACGGATAAGCCAGAAATGGCGCGACAGCTTCGGCGCGGCAGCTCGGACAGCACCGGCAGCCCGTCGCCACGTACTGGCGGCCGGCACCTCCCCGGCCCGGCGGGCCCCGTCACGTACCTAGCTTGAGCGGGACGGGCGGGCACACCTCCCGGCCGGCACCTCCCCGGCCCGGCGGGCCCCGTCACGTACCTAGCTTGAGCGGGACGGGCGGGCACACCTCCCGGCCGGCATCTCCCCGGCCCGGCGGGCCCCGTCACGTACCTAGCTTGAGCGGGACGGGCGGGCACACCTCCCGGCCGGCCGCCCAGTCCGGCGGCGGCGGCGCCCGGGACGGCGGCACCTGACGAGGGACATCGGCGGCCGCGCTCGAGTCCGTTGGCCGGCGCTGCCGCCGGCGCGGCCGTGGAGTTGGAGGGCGCCGGCGGCGGCTTGACGGGGCCGTCTTTCATCACGCGCTGCAGCAGCGGGTCTGCGGGGGTCGGCAGCGCCGCCGCCGACGTCGACGAACCGTTGCCGGCGACGAGGCCGAGCAGCGCACGCGGCGTGGCGGCCGCTGACGAATCAAACTGGAAGAACGAGGCGGGCAGCGCGCGCCGCGCCGCCAGCAGACTGAGGAAGCACTGCAGGAAGAGCAGGGCGATCACGCAGCAGAGGAAGTAGCGCAGCAGGCGGCCGCGGCCGCGCGGCACCACCAGCGAGCCGTACATGGGCGCTCGGGCGGCCGACCGGCCGACTGTGGCAGCACGCGGCGACGCACGGCCGCGTACTCCGCTTATCGACGCCGGCTATCAGCGGCCGAACTGGAGCGGGCGACGCCAGGCAGCGCCGCTGGCTGACGGGCTGGAAGCACGCGGGGTCTCTGGCCAACGGCCGGGGCCTCACATGTCCGGCCGGCCAGGCAGCCGGTCGATCGGGCCGGTGAGATGAGCAGCGGCGGCCGGCGGCCCATGACCGCCGAGGTCAAAACATCGACCGGCGGCGCGGCCCCACCTGCAACAGACGGCCAGAGAGCGGCTGAGCCGGGCGGCGCTGGCGCTGCTGCTGCCGACGGGACGGTCGCCAGTGCCGAGCCCGCACCGAGACACACGATCAATGGATGGACAGGGGGAGGGGGCGGGGGGACTGGCAATCGCCACACACAGATGCACACCAATCAATGGAGGCCGACAGATGATCTGGCATACGCCGCGTCTCGACTGAAAAACCTTGGGGATCACGCCGGAAAGCCGGGCGCAGCCACCAGATGACGTTGGACGCCGCATTGGGCAAGTCATCTCGTCGCAGTACATATATACAGAGATCGTTACATTGAGTAACTACAGAGCGCGCCTGTGACTTGCAATATGGTAAACATGCGTGGCCGAAAATGTTCTTTTTTCCCGATCGCCGTCGAATAGTTTACGTTAAAGCAGCCATGTCAACTTAGCTGAGTGACATCCTACTCAGTTCGCACCACAGCCGGCACTGTATGCGAAGGAACCACTTCTGACCGTTATCTGCATACTGCATCACGTTACCTACGCAAAACAACACAAGCACTTCTGAAAGGTGCGAAGAGGGGCAACATGACGTCCGGTGCTTTGGCCTCTGAGAGCCGCATGAGTGGGCAGTTTCACGTCCACTTTTGTGCAAAAACGAATGCCCAACTTATTTTCCTGCATGTGCTGCAAGGAATTGAGCTCTAAGTTTAGATATCAATGTTCTTTGAATGCTTCAAACAGACAAAGCTAATCGATATATTTGAGAACCAGCATTGCGCGATGAACACTTTGTTACGATGTTTTGTTTTATTTCCGAGCATTTCATGGGCTGAGTTTTAAGAATCTTCTGCCTCGATTATTTGAGGAGGATTTCCTGTCGCAGTATGAGGAATTACGGGCGCTTCGACCAATTTCTTCGAACTTATCTGCACTGGTCTTGCTTATAGATAACCTGGCGATACTTCATGTTCAGTCGCTTGCTCGAAATCATGCGCTCAAAAGCCCACTACCATGGGCTGCTGATGTCACTAGGGGTCTGACAGCGTTGACATGACACAGTGAATCGTAAATGGTACATAGGCATCCACCTGGTGCTGTTGATTTCACAATGTTATCCGCTCGGGTCGCCGAGATCCGACATAAACTTTAAAGTGCTTAAAACCGTCGAATCTGCTGTTCGCTCACGAGCGCACGCGCGCAATCATGCGCAACGGTTTGTACTCATGCCTTCACGATTATCCCTTCCCTTCCCAGTCGTGTTGACCCCGTTTCGCTGCGGCCCGCCCATGCCGAGATATGAACCGGCTTTCGACACACATTCCCGCAATGTTTGGCAATTCACGAAACTCACGGTTGCCGTGTTAACCAATGGGACCCGTTTGCACGCGCCGACGGCGCACCACCGGTAAGCTGCTCGCTAAATGTCGCGTGGCCAGCTGGCACCGGCACCGAGACGTGACTGCGCTGTGCATGACAAATGGACGCTGTTGTTCATTGCGGCGCTACGGCACGCTGACTTCTGAGATCACATTGCGTCCATCACTGTGTTAAATAGCGAAATGTAAAAAAAAAAACACCGCATGCTGCCCGGCCGCCGGCGTGGCACAGCGTGACGGGCCGGAAGAGGCCGATAGCTTATCAGGTTTGACATTTTTTGTTCCCGTCCTGACACTGCGTCACAAACAGGTCATCAGCGCAGTGGCGCATGAACCTCCGGAGGTCACGGAACTGTGATTTTTAGCTCATATTTCTTCCTGCACCGTCATAAGTGTTACAGGTTGTCCGGAGCTGGAAGCAGCTGCCCCCTACCCTGATCCGCTGCCCGTGCATCACCGGCCTGCGGTAGGCGGTTGGAGAAACATCCTTCGCTGTCATGCAGCAGCTCGAGCTCCCTCTCATCGACACCCAATTCTCCACGTTGCCCTTTCCACACCGCACAGCGCGGAAGAGCCCCGGCCAGGCATGCGGAGCCAGCCGCTGTCAGCAAGGGGGGGGGGGGCTGCCCACCGCACGGCGCCCTGACCTCTCACGGGTCGCCTGGCTGCCGCCGGCCGTGCCATGCAGGTATATGCAGTCTTTCAGGCCTCCGGGAGGCTCTGCCTCCACCGACAATTGGCCTGCACACATACTTTCACTTGAAAGTAGGCAAATCTGTCTCTACAAAATCACGTAACCACCGAAACATCAGAGGTCGGCTAATCTGACGCTCTTAAATTATGTAACCAAAGTGTCACGATCGCGGCGATCGGATGTTTTGTTCGTAAATATGTATGTCTAACCCGCCGAATAAGCCGGCCGAACGGTCGGCACGCGACGTCATTCCCCGGCAAACATCGGACCACAGCGCGTTCGGGCATGGCGACGCTTCCCCTTCGGGAACCTGGGATCTTTCAGGACGTTGTTGATGGCGAATATCTCAAACAGAACATAATGGCCCAACACAACCTTTATCGGCGCAAAAATTTCCGAACACGTTAGTGGGGCGCCTGGCGAACATGAGTGGGACGCACACCCGACATTTGTCAACCAAATAGCATGCTTCGTATTTCCTGTATTCTTGAGCTTTTGGGATTCAGCTGTTTTGAGCGCCTTGCTTTGTTTAGTCAAACAATGAGAAGGCCAAGATAATCACTGAGGAGGGGACAAGTCTCCTCGCGCGATGCCCGGACCGTTTCACACTAGAGCTGCCTCTCCTGGACAACATTAACCCCCGTGTCGTACGCAACGACATGCTCTAGAGTAAATGTCATCTCAGGCCGGCAAGCCTTGTTTTCCGTCCCAAGCAACGTCACAAGTCAGGGCCCCGAGATCACACCCCTAACTAGCATCACTTATGCTGCACAAATGGACTCGACCACAAATTCAGCAATTGATCAGCTCCGTCAAAAAGAAGCACATAAGGTGGGCCCAGCGCAAATCCTGTGTTAGTTTTTGATACCCACGGTCAAGAGTCTTTTCTCCCACCTACGCTCTGCTCTGCTGACGCTCTGCGGCTCTGCGCGCTGGAGGTGGCAGCTTCACTGCGCACCGGGGGGCGCCATGCCAGGGCGGCGGCGGCGGCGGCCGACGCTCGCCTCTCACCGGGGGCCCAGCTGGCCGGCGGCGGCCGCGGCGGCGGCGACGGAAGCGGCGCAGCACGGCTGGCGGCCGGCCAGCACCGCCCCGGTCCAGCACGGCCTGCCTCACGCGAGCCGCCTCTACAACTGGCCGGCCTTGGCAGCCTCGGCGGCGCGGCCGAGCTGGTACCCTCCCACAGGCGGCCGCCTCTACACAGGCGACGCGTGCACGTGGCGAATGGGCGCCCCACACGCCACCTCTGGCCTAGCGCCGCATTTGCCACGACTTTGGCGGAAACTGATTTTGCAAAACTCACTGGTCGTGACGGTGAAATCTGTCGCAAAAGCTTTTCAAGCCTCTGCCGCGTTTCACAAACACAGCGTGTATGCTGGAGCACGAGTCAGCACGATACCTCGAAAAAAATTGGCAAAGACCATATCTCGTGCACTACACCAGAACCGCGTTCACCATTACCGAACGCCGTCCATAATTTGCAACCGATGACGTCATAAGCACTCGCCTCAACACCACTGAGCAGTCGCTTGCGTGTGATGTAGGACGTGTGACGTCAAAGACATCGATTCCAGATAAGTACTTTGCCAATGGGGCAGCGATCCTATCCACTGTGAATCCTGGCCGTGTCTCTCTGCGTGACACGACCTGGCGGCCCATGTCAGCACCTCCAGGACAAACAGAGGCGCGCCCAGCGAGGGGCCGTACCAGGACGCAACACGCATGGGTCCCGAAAGAAACAAGCAGACGAGCTGCTCACAAAATCGAGCTGAGTCGAGTTGAGAATCAATCCACATACGCAGCCCGAAGCCTCTGTCAAATAGAGACATCTCATCTTGGCGAATCTGTAGCTGTCATCTGTGTATAGGTAGGGCGCTTATTCTCTGGCTTCTTGGGGGCCGAAGTGTGGGCCAAGTAAGTGGGATGTGCGTCGTTTTATTTCGTGTTTTCGGAGAACAATACATCGAAATGCGCCTTCTCCACTGCCTGGTGCTTTTTTACTTTCTCCGCTTTAATGCATGGTAATAAAAACGCCAGGTAAAGACGATGCGCGACTTAAACACAGTCCTTCTGGGACGACACTGACCATATAACGTGATGATCCATTTATGAAATCAATTTTGAAATTGTGTCAGCTATGTCAATCGCCCTTGTCTGCTGACGGCCAGTTTTTGCTTCGTGGATATTCCTCGGGGATCTCCCGAATGGGGGACCAAACATTCGCCGCGTAGCCGGGCTGGCGACACCACCGTGACCTGTAACCAGTTTCATAAAGAGGGAATGGCGTACGGTTGTGGCGCAGGGAGTAGCTTACCAAGATTTTACTTCGAATCCGGTGGCATAAAGTAAGGGGAAAACATGTACTCCCACGCCCGTCGAAAGCTTCTATTTACGGGGATATCTGAAGTAGAGTTTCTCCGTACTTTATCAATCATACATCGGGCCTCATACACGTAGCTGATTCGACCAAGGAGAACACAATCACTCTGAAACTGAAGTAACATTAAAGATACTCTCGCCGGCGTAAAATCAGCAGAGACGACCACAGAGGACCTGGCCCACAGGCATGCAGGAGCGGAGGAACAGAACGTTCAGGCCGAAAATCAACCTACGGTGAGAAATTGTTGAGCTATGAGGCGATGTTAACATGCCAAGGGTCGACGAGTACGTATATGTAGGAAAATCAATACGATTGCAAGTTGTATTGTAGCATTGTAGGTATCACAAACATATGCCCAGAAGTGTGGTGGATACAGCTGGCAGGCCAGTATGAAAACCAAGGTCCTTCCCGCATGCCGCGGATTTCATAAGATCATGTTTTGTCTTTCTTTCTATGACAGGACAGATTAAAGGTTGGTGAAATGCATAACCTGGGGTAAGGATAAAGGCAGCTATTTCAGGGAGCTTTTGTCGTTGAGGAGCACATTGCCTTCACATCAG